TCAAAATGCCCCATGCCAGTCCATCTCATCTCACCAATGCCTAGTATGTCAATATTTATGCGTTCCATTTCTTCTTTAACAATATCTAATTTTCCTACATTCATGGTTCTCACATTCCATGTCCCAATCACCAGTGTCTGCTTACAACTGTTCCTCTTTCTTTGTATTTCCATACTTGAAAACTCAACCTCCTTTGACTTTTCAGAAAAAATGTTTATATGTACACAAAGGATTTTTTTTTTCAAATCTATTATTGTGGTTTAAGTAAAAGTCAGTATCATCCATGAAGAGAACAAAAATTCATTAAAGAGGAGAAAGGAAAAACTAAAATAGATGTCAGAAGAGACTGAAAATTGCACTAGAGCATGAAGATGCTGAAGTAAAAGAGCTGAACAAAAGATTTCAAAGGGCAGGTTGAAAAGACAAAGCAAAGTATTATTAGAAAATAGGCAGAGCTGGAGTTAGAGAATAAAAAGGTAAGCACTTGCTTGGCATTTTTCAAAATAAGAGAACTGAAAAACAAATCCTAGCCTTGAGTTCCAGTACTAAAAGATGCTATGAGCAAAATCGTGAATGATTCAGGAAGCATCAAAAGATGGAGGTAACACTGAGTCATTGTACAGTAAAAACTGATTGACACTAAAAATTTCAGGAGGTACCATAAAAATAATAGCCAATTGTAATGAAGGAAGAAATTCATGCTACATTAAAGGTGTTGGCAAAAAAATAAATCCCCAGGAATAAATGGGAAACTAATTGACATGTTTCACCTAACAAACAGATGCAGCTCTCAACTTGCTCACTAATCTGTGTGAAGAAATTTAGACAACAATTGCTTGGCCATCTGACTGTAAGAGATCCATATATGTCTCCATTCCCAAGATATGTGACCCACCAGAATCTGGAAATTACTGAAAAATACATGCATGCAAAATAGTGCTGAAAAAAATCCAAAAATGGCTTGAGCATTGACAGAGAACTGCCAGAAGTTCAAGCTGGTTTTAGAATCGGCCATGGTCCAGTATATCATTGCACTGAAAGCAACAACACTTGTTGTTATATGCCATCGAGTCGCTTGCGACTCATAGCGACCCAATGTACAACATCGCACCGTCTCTGACACACCCATCCGAATTACCCCAGTCACTGAATCAATCCACTTCATAGGGGGCTTCCCCTTCTGCACCATCACTCCACCCTACCAAGCATGATGTCCCTCTCCCAAGGACCTGTCCCTCCTTGCAACATGTCCAAAGTATGTTAGACGGAGCCTCCGAATCCTTGCCTCCAAGGAGCAGCCCGGTTTGACCTTTTCCAAGAAGAATCTGTTTGTTTTCCTAGCAGTCCATGGTATTCTCAATACTCTTTTCCAGCACCACAGCTCAAAGGCATCAATTCTCCTTCTATCCTCCTTAGTCATTGTCCAACTCTCTGATGCATAACAAGTAGTAGCAAGGACCATGGCCTGCATCAGACGCACCTTAGTCTCCAAAGAGACACCATTGCCCTTCAGTACTTTGGCGAGGTCCCTAACATCAGACTTTCCCATGGCAATACGTCTTCTAATTTCCTTGCTGCTGGTGCCAATAGTGTTGACTGTGGAGCCAAGCAAACTTAAGCTGTGAACAATCTCAATCTCTTCACAATCCATCCT